TTCCTTGAGTCTGGAGGAACCAGTGAACTCTATACCCAGTCAATAAGAACCCAGAGACAGTGCAGGTGACGGACAGGGTCTGTGAGGGCTGCACCAGGCCAGGTCCTGACTCCTTCAGCTGCACCTGGGACAGGACACCTGGGGACAGACAGCATCACCATCAGTCATCCATCCCATAATGACCCTCCTGGGTACCTCTCCTGAAACCCTGCATACTCACAGCTTGGAAAGGTCAGCAGGCAGAGGAGCAGCACCAGGACAGCCATGCTCTGCTAAAGGCTCCAGTGAGAAGCAGATGGGGCTGCTCAGCTAGGCTTGGGCTTTCAGCCCGAGCCTGAGGCTCCTTTGCATTGTGGGAGGATCCTGAGAGGATAAAAGGAGGCTCAGGGCAAGGTTACAATTTCCCTTCAGACGTCTGATATTTTCTTGTACTTGTTGGAGATGCTGGTAACAATGAAAAGCTACAGAACATTTTCCTCATCCTCCTCTGGATTTCTAATTCCATGTAAACAGGAAATTGCATGGTTCACACAGTGCAGTCCTTGAATGCAAAATGTTAAGTGAGTCCAGGTTCATTCTCTGCAGGCAGAAGAGGGTACCACATCCTTAGTGCAAATCTCTGTAAATTCAACGAGAATATATTAGATGCAGTCTGGGTTTAGTCATATTGTTTACTTCAATTCTTAGCGATGGGAAACCAGAATTAAGGAACTAGTAGAGATCTTTTCTCTTAGTGTCAATTGCTTTAATCTATTTGTTATCAGTCATATAGAAAATTCAGCTTGTGAGAGAGCAACTAGCAAACATTAATACACTTGATTTAAATGTTCGTATGAGAGGAGATACAGGGGAATTGGACTGCTACTTTACCCCATGCAATCACCCACCATATTTGTGGGTCAAGATTTCAGAATGTGAAATTTTAGGCATTTATCCTTCTCTAGAGACATCCCACAGGATGTATGTTAGTTTAAACTTCCCAAATGGTCCCCAGAATCATCATCAAACACTCTCTTCATGTTTAGCATATATCCTGGTCTTTGTTGATTTATTAAATCTGACCTCACGACTAACATCACTGTTCAGTTTCACTGTGGGGAAGTTCTGTAGACTACAGATTTTATGTATGAGAAACGGAATAGAGATCAGTCTTCCTTCAGGTGGAAACATTGGGAAAGCACAGTGATGTTCTGAGGGACAATGGTACATGAATGTGCTTAGTATTCCATACAAGGGTCCCATGAAATAATTCTGCTGATCTCAGCTGGTAGGCACAGTTTTTAGGTTGTGACTATCAAAGGGAAATTATAAGAATACCAGAGCTTTGGATCTGGATTTAAAACACATGTTTTCATCCTTGGCTGGCCATGCCTAGGTGTGCACAGGACAAGAAGGGGCAATAAAAATATCCTGATTCTTGTTCATCATTCACAGATTTGAAAACCAACAACACTAACTCTTTCACTGTTCCATTAATCAAGTACATATTTTTCATATACTCTTGACAAAGGGCATCATGCTTATGCTTGCCCTGTCTGCAGTAGGACATTTAAAAGTGAGCCTGAATGGACTAAGGTGGCCACTGAGCACCAGCAGCGAGGTAAACATTTGTGATGAACACTTCTCGGACTCCTCTGGCCAATGTCTAAGCTTAGCTGCACAGAGTCAAAGCTGAGAGATGGGTCATGTGATGAGGGCCTGTGACTTGGGGACAGCTCAGCTGGACAATGGGACCTACCCTGGAAACACAGGTAGTTAGTGACTCTCGATTCCCATCTTCACTTACTTTAGTCCTGTAACCTCCACCCATGCTCTCGTATCCCTCTGCATTACTCACCCAGGGTGCACATCTACTTTACAGATGCACACAAGTTACAAGAATTTTGTGTCTGAATCTCATAAAACATGCACCACCAAATATTTTAGAATTTGTTCAGCAAAAGTCTGCTGAAAAACAAGAGGAAATCACTGCAATTTTCAGTCTCTGGCATCAGCTTGTGTGGACTGCAGTTTCCAGTTACCCAGTCATTCACTTTTCCAGTGTTGATGGAGGTGGTGTTGCCAGGAGCATTCATGTCTCACTGTCAAGAAAAACCCTAAACCATTTTAAATGCCATGTTCTGTAGGTCTTTGTAAGTTTTGAAGAATGCCTATCTATCTCAAATACATCTCTGTGCATCTTGAAAAACCTAACTAACTTAAATCTAAGCTTTGACTATCATAGGTAATTATCTATAATCTGTACTACATTATACATTTACATTTCTAAATGAGCTATATAAACACAATACCTAAACAAAAGGAGAAATATACACTTCACAAAGTTGACCTTAAATTGTATCAATAAATGAAAATCCATTCCAAAACAAAGTATTCATATCTATACCATAACTCCCTTTTTACCTTTAAAAAGAATTGTCTGTGTTCATTAACCATTTATATCAAACCCTATTGAAATAAAAACAAACATTTATAAACAATATTTGGGAATTTGGGCATCGTTCTTTCCAAACTACTTCCTGCTGGTAAAGGGGACTGTCATGGGGATCTAATGGGAGATGCCATTATAGATGTCATTCTGTATATGTTTCTCATACTGGTTAATAATAAAGCACTGTTGGCCAATAGGAAAGGAAGATAGGAGGGACTAGGAGACAAGGAGGAAATAGGAAGTAGTAAGGAGGAGTCAAGATGGAGAGTCTGAAGAAAGCAATATGCCGCCGGCTCCCTGGTAAGAGAAATACATAGATCAGCAGAAATGGGTTAATAATTAAAGGCAGAGCTAGCCGATAAGAAACAAGTAACCGGGCCAACAGTATTGTATCAAATACAGAGTCTCTGTGTGTTATTTGGGGCTGGCGGCGTGGCGGCGGGACAATACCAGGCGGCGGGCGGAAAAACCGTACGCCTTACAGGGATCCTAAGAAAATGAAGAAATCCTGCTGTAGTCTGCAAGGCTGCTATGTCCCAACTCTTTTGAATGTTGGATCACCTGCAACTGTTTCATGGGGTCTGCTTTTTCAAATCATTTTAGTCTGGAAGGAATCCACAGCTTTTTATTTTCTGTGGAAACAAAATTAGAAATCCTTTTCCCTAGTAACCTGTCCTTAGACTTAAATTTTGAAGTCAAAGCATTTTAAAATATATAAAATGGATTGATCCAACAGCATTTGTTTTAACAGTTGTTATTTTCTCAGCAGTCAAACGATAGAAAGCCAATATAATTCCATACAGTATCCAGATTCTCTCCATCTTTATGTGGCTTTTTTTTTTATTACTCTGTTTCATTTAATTTTTATTTTTGAGACAGGGTTTCTCTGTGTAACTTTTATCTGTCCTGGAATTCACTCTGCATGCCACGTTTACTTTGAAATCACAGAGATCTGCTTGCCTCTGTCTCCTGAGTGCTGGGGTTAATGGCATGTCTCTGTATTTTTAAAACCATTTTATTCCTTTTATTCCTCCCAAGCCTACATATATATTAGAACACATTGTAAACCTTTAGAGGTTTTTCTTAAACAGAACCTGTCTTTACTGTAAATCTTTATCTTTTTCTGGCCACAAGTCTTTTATCTGGTAAACATCAACATTGCTAAAATTAAAGCCAGAACTGTGTCAGCCCCAGTCTATCCAAGATGGCGGCAGGTAGTTTTACCAGCAGAACTGAGAGCTGGTCTATGCTGCCATCCACCAGCATACTGCCGGCTTGGAGATATGGTCACTGCCATTTCCAGCTCTTGTACACACCAATGAATTGTTAGCAGCACTTCTTAAAAGCTCTGCGGGTTTTTTTTGCCACTTTAGCTGAGTCAGGAAACCTCCCTTAAAGGAGCCATGCAAATCTCTGTCTCTAGCAAAGCAGAGTCCAACTGAGAAAAATGCTGCTACCAAGAAATCTTACTTGTCTCTGTTCTTTTGTTTCTAAAACCATTTCTTTAGGTTTTCTTAGTTTTAAGTGGAAGTTCTTATTAGCCACGTAGCAGTGTCATGTTAGGAGTAAGGTTTTCTGCCGGTGTGTTCCCCCCCACGGCGCCAGCCCCAATTAACACAGAGAAACTCTGTATTTGATATAATTCTGTTGGGCAGTTACTAGCTTCTTATTGGCTAGCTCTGTCTTAAGTATTAACCCATTTCTATTAATCTAAGTATTTACACGTGGTCTCATCTTACTGGAGAGTGGGGCAGGCATCTCCTCTCCCCAGTCTCTATGTGCTGACCCCTTACTACCTCCTCGAATCCTCCTTGTCTCCTAGTCATACCTATCTTGATTTCCTATTGGCCAACAGTGCTTTATTCATTAACCACTATGAGAAACATATTTAGAGAATGACATCTCCCATCAACCCCAACTCAGAATTAGCTATAGGTCCTTCACACCATGTTTCTGAGACACTCGGCAAATAATGCTCACAGAAGCCTGTAGACAGAAAATGAATTAACATATTAAAAGAATTTTCATTATGCTAATTATATTCTGCTGGAACTGTATAATGTAACCATGATAAATCCACAGAAACGAAACAAGGAAAATACTCATTACCCATGAGTCAGGTAGGAGCAGTTTCTGCTAACTGATGCTCAGTGAGAGTCACTACCTACATCAGCCTCATGTCTCATTGCGGCGGCCTTATCAACACTACACTGGGTCAGGGATGGTTGTGTCGCCCATGGTCTGTGTGAGGACGACACAGAGACTGAAGGACATCAGGGTTCATGCCTGGTTTCCTTGTTTTATTTAACTTGAACCCACACAGGTGCTCTAACCAGGGAATCTTACTGAGTCTCTGTCCTGAGTCTGTGGCTCTGCAATCTCAAGGGTCCCTTATTTCTTCTGCATCTGATCCTGGTCCCCATACAGAATCATCTGCCCTGTGTGACCCTCTGCCTGCTGTTCAGGTCAGTGTGCATCACATATGACACATGTATAACAGGGTTGTGGAGATAGATTTGTGGTTCATGTTCTAACCACACAAGAACAAGGACCCGTGTTTAGTCCTCTGTCACTGTAAAAAGAGGTAGGTGCGGTAGCGAACCATTACGCCACCTATGAGACGTAGATCATGGTGATCACAGCCATCACTGGGCATCTAGTCTAGGTATCTGATGAGATCCAGGCCCAGTGATAGAAATTATCTCAAAAACTAGGTTCACATTAATAGTCACTTCATGTCAACATGTACATATAAACACACAGACAGTACACACACACACACACACACACATACACACACGGAGAGATAGTAAGATGAAGAGAAGCAGGGTCAAAGATCAAGAGACAGATGTTATAACAAATACACATGTCAACAGGAAACAGAAGTTTGAATAAATATTTGGATACTTCAAAAATTACTACACAGCAAACCTATAGAGGGAATCCCTGAGTGTGATATGGAGAGGCTGCCCAGACACTGAAGTTTACAACCCTGTGTGCCTCTCTGAACAGTCTCACCTGTTACCCACAGCTCTGTGTGCTCCCAGCACCCCCTGCTGGTCCTGAGAGCCCCGCAGGGAGGTTTGTGTCTGAGCTCACTGTAGCATTCACTCACTGTGTCTCTTGCACAGTAATATGTGGCTGTGTCCTCAGACTTGAGATTGTTCATTTGCAGGTACAGGGTGTTCTTGGCATTGTCTCTGGAGATGGTGAACCGGCCCTTCACAGCGTCGGAATAGTAGATGCTACTACTACCACTACTAATGTATGCGACCCACTCCAGCCCCTTCCCTGGAGCTTGGCGGACCCAGCTCATGTCGTAGTTACTGAAGGTGAATCCAGAGGCTGCACAGGAGAGTTTCAGGGACTTCCCAGGCTGCACTAAGCCTCCTCCAGACTCCAGCAGCTTCACCTCACACTGGACACCTGCACACACAGAGAAAGCTGATAAGAATCTGTCACAGAAGCCAAATTTTCCTCTATCTCTTGTCGACACAGAAACACAGAATGTCATTTCAACAAATTACCTTTTAAAATTACGACAAGGAAAAGCCAAGTGAGCACCAAGTCCATGGTGAGTGGTTTGTGTCCTGTGCTGATCACAGAATGGCAGGACCTGCTAATCCAGGACTGAGCTCCTCTGCCAGAGCTGCAGGGTCAGGGCAGGGCTGGTTTTCATGGGCCCAGAGAAGCCTTATTTGCATGTCTTCCTGCTGGAGCAGGCTCTGATTTGGGCAATGCTCAGAGGAGATATAAGCCATCAAAGACAATAGAATCAGTTACATAAATTGAAACATTGTGTCAGCTCCAGTTCACTTTTTCCTTTTGAAGGATTCCCCATATTTCACTTGGTTTTCTTTTTGCCTGTGAACAGAACTTGCTGTGTCCTGACTATAAATGTGAAATGAAATGGCTTCACACAGTTGTGTTTGTACACAAGAGCTCTGTCTCAATCTCTGTGGTGGACCTGGTCCCTCCATAGTGAGGTTCTTAGACAGGGTCAGACCTGTCTACAGTGGTTGTTGTTATTACTACCTTGTGATTAGAACAGGGGTTGCCACATTTCCTTCTCTGTGATGAGAACACTTGAGACTTTCTTGACATTTTCTCATTGCTGAGAGAGCTGTTTGCTCAGGTCTTTAGATGTTGCAAATATGACTCCTCCTGTAACTATCTTCTGTCTACCACTCAAGTGTTTGGTGTGGAGGTAAATGCCTGTTAGTAGCAAACTAGATTTTTTGTATCTTGACTTTCTTCCTTAGGTTTCATAAACTTCTTTCTGCTATCTTCTTCACCTTTCCACCAGGCAAAATTGCTGTCTTTATGTTGTGTTAGACTAGTTTTCAATTCCCCAAATTTATACCATTAACATATCCATGTCTTTTCACTATTTCTTTACGATGACTAGAACTTTAAATTGCATTATTAAGGGAGTTTCAGAGGTACAATACCTTAAACAAGAGTAGAAACACCTACATTATATAAAAATAATCTTAAATTTTTATCAATATACAAAAATCCATACCTATGTAAAATTTTGAGACAAGTAGTTCAAAAGTTGACTCAGCATTCCACTCGTTCATCCAACCACTTCTATTCTATATCCCTTATTTTTCCATTCAGAATGAGAATCCGGAGTTATTTGCCTTTTTAATGCTTTTTCTAATTTGTTTTTTAAATAAAGCTGTTGGCCTGTTACTCGCATTTCTTTTTAACTAGCTCTGTCTTAAATATGAACCCATTTCTGTTAATCTAAGTATTTCTTCGTGGTCTTATCATAGAGAGGGTCCGCACCTTCCTGAATCCCCCTTTACATCTCCCAGAATCCTCCTTGTCTCCTAGTCCCGCCTATCTTGCCAACAGGGCTTTATTCATTAACCAATAAGAGAAACATATTTACAGAATGACATCTCCCATCATCTCCTCTTTTCTGTCTAAAATAAAAAGGTTTTTTAACCTTAACATAGGAAAATACATTACAAAACAGTTATCAAATAAGAATCACGGTAAACAATGCACAGTCCATTAAAATTTTGCAAAATTTAAAGAAAATATTCCACCATCTATCCTATCTTTCTGAGTCTAACTTCCTATATGTAACCTATCTTTAATCCTAACTAAGGACATCTATAACCATAAGTATCTGTCTTCATCTATATTAAAGACTACAGAAGGATAATATATAAACTCTAGAATTGATAGAGCCATCTCACAACCTATTAACCTATAGGTCATAGTGTGTCTGGCATACTTCTCATGAAAGCAAGAAATTTCAAAATGTCCCATTAAAACACATTAAAATATATCTCTCTATGTCTAGAAAACCTAACAACATAAGTTTTGACTATCAAAGGTAACTATCAATAATCTGCACTAAATAGCTTTTGTTAAGTTTTAAGTGGAAGTTCTCGTGCCCCACAGCACAGGCACCATTTTGTTGTGAGTAGTATTCCATCTAGCCAGAACCCACAGCCTTGCCAGACCCCATAAACATACCTAGATTCTATATTAGATATAATGCTGTTGGCCTGTTACTAACAATTTCTTATGGGCAAGCTCTGTCTTAAATATTAACCCATTTCTACCGATCTAATATTTCCACGTGGTCTTATCTTACTGGAGAGAGGGTATAGAGTTCTGCTCTCTTGGTCCTACATTTTGAATCTCCTCATGGTTCTCCCTGAATTCTCCTTGTCTCCTAGTCCTGTATCTTGCTTTCCAATTGGCCAATAGGGCTGTATTCTTTAACCACCAAGAGAAACATATTACAGAGTGACATCTCCCATCACCTTTGTTAATAAAGTACTGAAATTTGGGAGTTTATACAAACAACAAAATGATAGTCCCATCACAAGCAGGGCCATAGACTAGCCTAATCTAAACACCTCAGAGGTATGTATATAGGTTTGCCTAGATGATCATAGATCCTGTCAATCTGCCAATAAACTGGGAAACTTTGGACACATGAAAATGGAAAACAGACATCTAAGGTATACTACTGGAGAAATTTTGAAGCCCCTGAATGTGCCCAAGTGTTTAAGAACACTAGAGGCTCACTCAGTTGGCATATCTGAAGAATGAATATCAGTGAATATATCTTTCCTTTAGCCTCCACTGTTCTGGAGTCTACTTCTGTATACCAGCACTGGTGTCAAGGGCCAGAGAGTGTCCACCTGTGTCTGTGGCAAGAGTCTCATGAAGAATCCTTACTGCTATGTGATGGCAGTTTCCCATTCAGTTCTCCAACATGGATTGATCTTTTTTTTTATTTTGAAAGTTCAACAAACACTGGGGCATATAAATGTGATTCATGCATACATCCCAAAGCCATCCTGGAACTGAGTCTCCTCTACCATTCAAGTTCACAATCAAGAACTATCCCTGGGCCTTTGAGTCCTTTTTAGTTCTGGTACTCTTGTTTGCCTGAAGATGGACTCCAACAGGTTTTTCTATCCACAAATATCATGATATAAATAATATAATCCCCAAGCTCAATATATATGAAGACAAGGCCATTAGGAAAAATAGCTTGGCAGAAGTTATTATCAAAGGTAAAGAATTCATAGTAAAGCCAAGGATTTTTATAGTTACCTCCTATTTGAGATGTGGATTACATTTTTTACTTATGTCTGGCGGACACATGGATACTCACTTACTAGGTCATGTTATCCTGACAGTACCACCTTGAACATCTGTGTTATGTTTGGAACATTGTCAATGTAACACAAACTAGGGTTGTCAGGGACAACATAATGCTACTTGAAAATAACATCTCCATTGTTGTGCAAGAATCCCTGTGGGGTGATTTTCCTGAGTACTGATAGATGTGGGAGGGCTCAGGCAGACAGGTGTGATGCCATCCATGGGGAGATGTTTTGCACTGAGTGAGAAAGCATGCTGAACAACCATGGAGTGAAGCCATAAGCACACTTCCTTCCTGGGTTTTGATGCAGTTCCCACCCTCACTTTCCTGCCTTGAATCCATGCCCTCATTATCATCCATGATGGGCTTTAGGATGTGAGGTGACATAAAACCTTTACTTACCAAGTATTGTTGGCATGATTGTTAGGAACTAGCAGCCAGCTGACCCCCGCCCCACCGATGGGCGGGAGCTCATGGCCTTGTCATCTCTACACCAGCTTTACCTGGCGGCCAGAGGACTCAGTTACGCATGCCCAAGCCTCTTTTAAAGCAAGCGCGCCAAGTGCTTCTCTCTCTCTCTCTGCCTCTCTGGTTTCTCTCTCTGGTCCCTCTCTGTTTCCTCTCTCTCTCTCTCTCTCTCTCTCTCTCTCTCTCTTGCTCTCTCTCTCTCTCTCTCCTGCCTTTGGTTGGCCACCAGTTACCCCCTGTTTCTCTCCCCTCTTTCAATAAACTCCACATGGGTGCTGAGTCTCCTGTTTGTGTTTTATAGGCATTAGTTGCATCAAAAGAACAATAATGATGATGGGCAGATATATAGATTAACAGGATAGGATAATTTCCAAGTCTTTTATGAAAGAACATGGGGTCAGTTCCTGTCTACACAACTGTAACCATAATCGCACACAAAGTCACACGTCCAAACACACACACACACACACACACACACATAACATCACACCAACATGAAGAAACAGAATTCCACAAATAGATGAACTGACTTAATTTCTTTTTTTTTTTATTTTACAGGGACGCTCTTTTTGGCCTGGACTCAGTGTATAGAACATTCTGCAAGATTTTGTTGTCACTGTCTCCCTAGTGACCGGGTTAAAGGTGTGAATCCACATTCCCAATCCTCACAGAGTTTTAAAAATTAATTAATTAATTTGTACAAAACATATATGTATATGGAAATGTGTAAGTATATGTGTATATATGTGCAATGTATAAAATCATGTAGTATTCAATGGGAAAACAAGAAGCAACTGGATTGGTTTGATATTTTGTAGAAAAAATATTGTTCTAATGTCTGAACACAAACTTGAATAGGATATGGTAATAGGGGAGACTGTAGAAAAATTCCGTGACAGGGAGAGGAAACCATAGGTGAGTACATTAAAACACATGCTCATTTTGCATAGCCCAGAATCTCCTAGTTCTGAAGCAACCCCGTACTCGTCATGGGAGTCCCTATTAGCCTTCAGGTTCCCCTGCTGGTACTGAGTTTCTCTGCAATGAAGTTTCTGTGCAGACTCACACTAGAGTTCCATCACTGTGTCTGGCACATTAACACATGGCTGTGTCCTCAGTTTGCAGATTGTTCAGTTTCAGAAAACTTGACTCTTGGGGGTGTCCCTGCTGATGCTGATTCAGGATTAGTGACCAGATCTATCATATAGGCCTCCAAGATTATCTATTGCTCCTATCCACTCAAGACCTTTCCCGGAGCCAGGCAGACCCAGCTTACATCATAACTGGTTAATGAGAAGACAGAGTCAGTGCAGGTGAGGGACAGGCTATGTGAGGGCTGCACCAGGCCAGGTCCTGACTCCTCAAGATTTCCTGAAAGTTTCTGTAGTGAGATTCTTTGTACAGCTTGACACTGGGGTACCCTCTCTGTTTATCTGGCACAGTAGTAGGTGGCTCTGTCCTCAGTTTGCAGATTGTTCAGTTTTAAGAAACCTGGCTCCTGGAGGTGTCCGTGCTGATGCTGATTT